ATCATCCGTTTCTGTCCCCATGAATACATCCACCAAGCTTGATATGGATATAGATGGAAAGGATGTAGATCAAACTCTCTACAGAGGAATTGTCGGATCTCTACTTTACCTTACTGCAAGCCGTCCGGATATCTCATATGCAGTAGGTGTTTGTGCCAGATTCCAGTCAAAGCCAAAGGAAAGTCATCTGATAGCAGCTAAAAGGATTCTTAGATACCTTAAAGGAACTCAGAACATGGGTTTGTGGTATGCTAAGAGCAATTCATTTGAGTTAGTGAGATACTCAGATTCTGACTTTGCCGGATGCAAAGTTGACCGGAAAAGTACATCTGGTAGTTGTCAATTCATTGGTGGAAATCTTGTTTCTTGGTTCAGTGAGAAACAAAACTCCATTTCTACATCAACAACAGAAGCAGAGTACATTGCAGCTGGTAGTTGTTGTGCTCAAGTTTTGTGGCTAAAGCAACCACTACTGGACTATGGAGTCAAGACAAAGGAAGTGACAATCTTTTGTGACAATCAAAGTGCCACTAGCCGCATAAATCGCCCACATTAAACCCAATCGTCACTATAATCAGACCTCAACTGCCCACTCAGCACAGTCAAATCTTTCATCGCCTTCTTCACGAGAATCTTCTGATAAAATTCTCAAGAACCCTAATTTCTTCAGATCTTCTCAATTTTCTGAGAAAATGAAGGTTGTCGGTGCAAATGTCCACTTCCAGAAGATAGAATCCAAGTGCTCATCACCAACATTCTTTCAAAGCTATCTGCAAATGATAGCCGCTCAAGAACTCTCTGAATTTCTTCAAATGGAGATTCGCCTCAAATTCGAGGAAGAAGTTCTTGAATTCTACAGAAATGGAGAGTTCAAAACTGCTCATTCAAAGAAGAACCCACAGAAGACGTTTCCAGTCATCAAGTCCACTGTTGGAGGTACAAAAGTGAAGCTTTCGCAAAAGAAATTGGGAGAAAAGCTTCGCCTTCCCAATTCTGGATTTGAAGTTGGGAAATTTCCAGTCAAAAATCTGGACTGGAACATCATTGGAATCTCTGGGCAAGTTCCTTCTGGCCCAGCGAAGAAAGCAGATCTAAACAACGATTACAAGTTGGTTTTGGAACTGGTCATCGCTTGCCTCGAGTGTGGAAGTGGAGGTCATGCCGATGACATCACCCAGGAGAGAGAGCCTTCATCATCAACTCTCTCATTACCAAAACTAAGGTAAACTGGGCTGCACACTTTTTCAAATCCATTTCAAAACATCTAGGAAAGGACAATCAGAAGTATCTCTGTCAAGGTCTGTATATTGGACATATTTTGGAATCTATGGGCGCTGCAGTTAAAGGGAAAAAGTATGAAGCCAGATACTGGCTATACTACTTATCCTCCAAAGGAGAAAACAGAGCTAGTGCTAGTGCCACTGCAGAAGAAAGCTCATCAGACAATGTTCCACTCATCAATTTCACAAAGACTACCAAGAGAAAGCATGTGGTGTCTCCTTCTCTTAGTGCTGAAGCACCACAGAATTTTGCTCCAATAAATCTTGAAGAAGAAGAAGAATTCTCTGACCAAGGAGAACTTCAAAGGAAGAAGAAGAGGAAGATCAACTCTCCATCAACATCTGGAAATGTCAATCCGGATGAGTTATAGGAGAAAGAACCTGCTGAGGAAACCTCTGCTCAAAACCGGAGCCCTCAACAACTTGAAGAAGAAATTCCTCAAGTCCAAAGCCTTCCAACCTCATCACCTCAATCTCAAAGAGATGATGCAGGTAACCAATTCTGGCAGCTCTACTATGGTTGGAAAGCCTGGAAAGTTGGAAATTCAGCAGAGCAACTATTGAATTGGGACCAACAACTGAAGAATGAGAAGATCATCAAAAAGTGCTTAGGAATACCAGTCAACCACAACTGTGAACAAATTTTGGATGACTACTGGGTATGGCAAAGGAATCCTGAAGACTTGCATCTGGAAAACCTGGCCAACACACCAGTTTCAGACTTTGAAGCAGATGATGAAGATCCTGCAGTCTTCAAGTCAATCTTCTCAAAAGACACAGAAGATCAAGTGGTTTTCACTTCTGAAGCACAAGGTGTTTTGGAAGCAGCAGCTGAAGATTTCCAAACACTTCCGGAAACCTCACATGTTTCTGAAATGGTTCTAACTGAAGTTGTAGAAGAGAAGGCAATCTCACCACCACAAGAACAGAACCAGGAAACAGCAGAAGAAGAAGAATTTCAGCCACTAATCCGATCTCAAGTTTTGGAGATTCTCACCATTCCTTGTGAGATCTCCAATCCTACTGAAATGGAGATCTCGGAGAAGTCAGCAGAAATTCCGGAACAGTCAGCTCTTCCAGAAACAATGGAGCAAGCTGTTGAAGCACAAAGGAATTCTGGAGAAGCTGAAAAGGAAACTCAAATGGCAGAACTAGAGGTCTCTCAAACTCCAGTAGCCATTTTTGAAGAAGAGAATACAGCTGAAGAAAGAGACTCCCTCTCTAGGGATATATCAAATTTTGCGCTTGAAGCAGAAGGAGAGTCTGAAAGAACACTGAAGGTTACTGATGAAGAAGATGTACAAGAAGATGCTGAATCTCTTCCTATGCAACTCTTCCAAAGAACACCACCATCTCATCAGGTAACCAATTTTCATTTCCATAGCTCTTCCACCCCTACTCTTCCGGATGAGATACCGGAAATCTGGACAAAGAAGGTCCAAGGGCTGATTGAATCAGCCCTAGCATCTCAACATGCCTCCTTTAGGCAAGAGATAGAGCAAATGGAAGTCAGGCACACCGAGCTGATAAAGAAATCTGAAGGAAAACACAGCGCAGATCTCAAAGAAATAAGCAAATCAGTGCACAAGACTCTGGAGATTATCTCTCTATTGAGTGAAACTGTGAGCAACACAATGGAAATATATGCCTCTGACAGTCAACTTCAACTCAAAGAGATCAACAAAGTCAAAGAGCAAATAGCGAGTGTCACAGTTAGTCTCCAAAAACATATGTCCCTTCTCCAAATGGACATCAGATCAGCCCTAGCAGTAGCTTCTGCAAATCAGGTAGTGACCAAAGACTACTTGAAGGTGATCATTGACAATCAAAAGGAAGCATACAAGCTGTTCAGACTTATTGGCGCAAATTCTGGAAACCGCAAGATGGAAGTAATTCTCCAACAACACAGTCCATCTCCAATACCACAGCTCCCTATTG